TGCTAGGTTGCACCAAACCATGCTGATCCGTGCTAGGTTGCACCAAACCATGCTGATCCGTGCTAGGTTGCACCAAACCATGCTGATCCGTGCTAGGTTGCACCAAACCATGCTGATCCGTGCTAGGTTGCACCAAACCATGCTGATCCGTGCTAGGTTGCACCAAATCATGCTGATCCGTGCCAGGTTGTACCAAACCATGCTGATCCGTGCCAGGTTGCACCAAACCATGCTGATCCATGCTAGGTTGCACCAAACCATGCTGATCCGTGCTAGGTTGCACCAAACCATGCTGATCCATTCCAGGTTGCACCAAACCATGCTGATCCGTGCCAGGTTGCACCAAGCCATGCTGATCCATTCTAGGTTGTACCAAACCATGCTGATCCATTCCAGGTTGCACCAAACCATGCTGATCCATTTCAGGTTGCACTAAACCAAACTGACCTGCACCAGGTTGCACCAAACTATGCTGATCTGTACCAGGTTGGTCTAAACCATGTTGATCTGTACCAGGTGGCACCAAGCCAAACTTATCTACACCAGGCTGCATAAAACCATGTTGATTGACTCCTGGCTGAAACAAACCTTGTTGACCTATACCAGGTTGGACCAAACTACTTTGATCTGAACCAGGCTGTACAAAACCAGGCGGATATGCATCAGGCTGCACCAGCCCAGGTGGATATACATTGGGCTGTACCCAACCACTGGTAAATGCACCAGGTTGTACCAGACCACTCTGATCCATTCTAGGGTGGACCAAACCATGCTGATCTACACCAGATTGCACCAGACCAGGTGGATATCCACCAGTCTTCACCAAACCATGCTGATCTACACCAGGTTGGACCAAGCCAGGCTGATGTGTACCAGGCTGCACCAAACCACGCTGTTCCACAACAGGCTGTGCTAAACCATACTGACCTATATCAGGTTGTGCCAAACTAGGTATATATATATCAGGTTGGACCAAGCCAGGCTGACCTGCAGTAGGAGGTGCCAAACTAGGTTGACCTGCACCAGGCTGCACAAAACCACGCTGATCTGTGCCAGCTTGTACCAAACCATGCCGATCTGCACCAGGTTGGAGCATGCCAGGTTGATCCATTCCAGGCTGCACCACAGCAAATTGATCTGCACCAAATTGGACCAAGTCAGGCTGATCTGTACCAGCTTGGACCATTCTAGGCTGATATGCACCAGGTTGCACCAAACCACGCTGATCTAAGCCAGGCTTCACCAAACCACGCTGATCTCTGCCAGACTGGATCAAATCATGCTGCTCTGTGCCAGGTTGTATAAAGCCAGATGCTTCCAAACTGGGCTGTACAAAACCTCGCTGATCTGCACTAACTTGCATCAAACCAGGTGATGCCAAACCATGCTGATCTGTATAAGATGGAACCAATCCATGCTGATTGACTCCAGGTAGGCCCAATCCTTGCTGATCCATGCCAGGGGGTACCAGTCCATGCTGATCTGTGCCTAATGTTACAAATCCATGCTGATCCATGCCAAGTGGTACCAATCCCTGATCATCTGTTTCCGGTGGTAGCACACCAAGCTGACGCACGCTGTGGGGCACCACACCATGTGAATAAGTGCTAGGATGTAGAAATCCAGGATGATCCATGCCAGACGGTCCTAATCCATGATGATCTGGCCTTTGATAGACTTGACCCTGGCTAATGGGCACTGCACTGTGCTGATCTGGGTGCACATAAGGATGATCTCTGGCTGAGGTTAAGTCCTGTTGAACTGGGCCAGTGTGTGCATCTTGTTCCTCTTTTCTTGGACGTGCTGAGGTAAAATGCCCTCTACTCGTGTGACGATCTGACTCTCCTCTGAACTGGGATGTGGGAGGCTGCTGGGGTCTTGGCATGCCAGCTTCATCATGGGCCCTTGGGTACTGTTCTCTACTTATAGAAACAGTAGAAGGGGGGCCTCTGCTTCGTTCCCTGCTAGTAACCCCTTCAGAGGGGTATACTATGCCACTGGATCCTGATAAGGTCTGATATGTGCCAAAACCACCAGCAGAATCCAGAGCCTCGTCAGTACTTGGATGCTTAGTGGAGGCTCCACTTGGAGTTGTATCATTTGATGTTAAGGAAGTCTGCCCTTTGTGCTTAGGAAGTCCCGTAGATGTTTCTGAGCCCTAGTTGAAGAAGAAGAAGGAAATCAATAACTACAAGTCAAAAATACACACTATAAGAGTTGGAAGGAAGGAAATCTGGGATACCTGACTAGGATGATTTAGGGCCCTTGTAGAAAAAAACCTCTCTGCTCCTAAAAGTGAAGCTGGGCATAAAGAAAGACTTTGAAATTCTTAAAGAATAGGTCTTCAGGGGCCGGCCCGGTGGCGCTTAGCAGTGCGCCGCTTGGGAGTGCGGTGGCGCTCCCGCCGAGGGTTCGGATCCCACGTACAGACCGGCCGCTCACTGGCTGAGCGCGGTGCGGGTGCAACACCGAGGGTTGCGATCCCGTTGCCGGTCCCGGTCTGGTACGGGCGCGACACTGAGGGTTGCGATCCGTTGCCGGTCAGGAAAAAAGACAAAAAGGAAAAAAAAAAAAAAAAAGAATAGGTCTTCATATTTTTGAGAATCTGCACATTTGCAAATAGCATCATAACATGCACATTTGCAAATAGCATCATAACATGTAATTTCCTTCATAAAAGATGGGGGGAAACTTAAAAATACAAGTCATCCTCTGGACTTTCACTGAGTCTATATATAAGGGACATAACTAATTTGTTAAGTTTAAAATATAAAGTCTGCCCCATTGTTGGCTCCTTGCCAATGGTAAAATTGTACACTGGAGAGTAAATAAACCACATATTTAAAATGTAAATGCAGGGCCGGCCTGGTGGCGCACTGCTACAGTGCGCCGCTTGGGAGCGCGGCGGCGCTCCCGCCGAGGGTTCGGATCCCACATACAGACCAGCGGCTCACTGGCTGAGCGAGGTGCGGGGGCAACACCAAGGGTTGTGATCCCGTTGCCGGTCCTGGTCCGGTACGGGCGCGACACTGAGGGTTGCGATCAGTTGCCGGACACGGAAAAAGACAAAAAAGAAAAAAAAATGTAAATGCACAAATCCTTGGACTGAGAAATTCCATAGATAGGAATTTTCTCTAGGAACTCTCACAAAAAATATGCATACGAAGATGGAGTCTGCAGCATTGTTTATGAGAATAGATTATCAATAGGGGACAGATATATTTATGGTACACCCCTACAGTAGAATAGTGTGAATCCACTAAAAAATAATGGACTATTTTCATTTCCAGCCAAGATGGAGTCATAGGGATTGCATTTACCCTCGTAGCTATAGTAACAAAAAACTGTGAAGCAGTTGTTTTCTAGACGCTGGATATCAGGTAACAGAGGATAGCAATTCCTGAGGGGTAGAGGAAAAAAACTATGTGAGCCCTGTTATTGCCTCAGCTTACTGCTATGGTAGAGTTCCCAGGCTGCAGTGCAGGGAGTGGGAACCGAGGTGGAGCCCTGCAGACTCCCTGAGTTGAGGAAACAGAGCTGAGCATTCAGGGAGATTAAGGCAACTAGAGCTTACAGGATAGAGTATCAGAAAGAAAGGAGATGCAGAGAGAGATGACTCCAGAGATCTGTGCAAGGTCCCCTCGAGTATTCAGCACAGAAATGACCAGCACATACATGTGAGGAGACTACCCAAGGCTGGAGAAAAAACTATCTGCAAAGCTAAAAGGAACAGTGTCCAGACTCTCCTGGGGGTGGGGACACACCTGTTTTTACCAGCCGGTTTGGAAAAACTAATCACCCAAGGGGCGCAGCATAGAGTTCTTACAAAGGTATTGCTTCAGAAGTGCAGAATAATCAGCCCTAGACGGAACAGTGCCAGGGACCCGCCTAACAAATCATAAAATCATAAAACCAAGACCTGAAAGGACTGAAGTATTTTCAAGTATCTGCATCTTGGGGGAAAAATCTCAAGAAGACTTATAGAAATAGAACCAAGGGCCGGCCCGTGGCTCACTTGGGAGAGCGTGGTGCTGACAACACCAAGTCAAGGGTTCAACCAAGGGCCGGCCCATGGTTCACTTGGGAGAGCGTGGTGCTGACAACACCAAGTCAAGGGTTAAGATCCCCTTACTGGTCATCTTTAAAAAATAAAAAAATAAAAAAAATAAAATAAAAAAAGCACAGTAGAGACATTAAAGATATACTTTTTAAAAAGACAAATTGAACTTATGGTAATAAAAACCAGAATACACTGGATGAGATTAATGACAGATTGGACATTGCAGAAAAAAGATTATAGAACTTGGAGGCACAGCGATAGAAACTATACAAAATGAAACAAGAGAAAAAGGAATTGAAAATGAGAGTAGCATCAGTGAGTCGTCAGATAACTTTGAATATATATATATATTTTTTTGTCTTTTTTCGTGTCCGGCAACGGATCGCAACCCTCAGTGTCACGCCTGTACTGGACCGGGACCGGCAACGGGATCGCAACCCTCAGTGCTGCGCCCGAACCTCGCTCAGCTAGTGAGCGGGAACCGGTCTGTATGTGGGATCCGAACCCTCGGCGGGAGCGCCGCCGCGCTTCCCAAGCGGCGCACTGTAGCAGTGCGCCACCGGGCCGGCCCATAACTTTGAATATTTTATAACTTGATGAAAACTAGAAACTCAGAAATACTGTACTAGCTATAGAGCTCAGTGCACCCCAAGCACGGAAATGACGAAGACCATGACACATGGTACATCATAAATTGCTCAAAACCATTAATAAAGAGAAAATCTCAAAAGCAGCTAGGAAAAAAAAAAAGGTATGTGGCATAAGAACAAAATTCAACATGACAGAAGATTGCTCACTGGAAACAGTGCAGGCTAGAGGACAGTGAAGCGACATCTTTAACATAAGTGAAAACTGTCAACCTAGAGTTCTACACCAGACAAAAATATCTTTCAAAACTGAAAGCGAGAAGCCCTTTCTGAATGGCTAAGAACGTCTGAAACTGCTCCTCCATAAAAGCCGTAAGAACGCTGCAAAAATGGTCAAAATCAACTTTTCTGAATTTTGAAAATTAATCAAAGGCTTGCAAACATCTGAGAAGCGTTTGTTCAATAAAGATGGCTGGATCTCAGCACAGTGAGCTCCACGGTGTTCTCAGCTGCCCTATTCTCAGCCCCTTACCCCAGTCACTGGAGGGGCAGAGCAGATGTGGAGCTCCCAAAAAAGTCCATTTCCCAGAGAGTTGTCATAATTTGTCTGGCAGCTCTGTGGAAAAGCCCCATTCAAAGGGCTTGTTTTTATTCGACCTGATCAGAGTTCACTCAGTGAGAAGCCCTATACCAAGCACGTTTTCCCAAGACTACCGGTGACAATTGTTTTACATCATAGCTGCCTGAGACAGTGCTACCAAATGGGAAAACAAGAAACTGGCTAGAAAACTTAAAAGGAGAATCTTGAAAATGAGCTGTCCAGAGGGAGCGCTGAAAAACTCCAGCTTATCACTGGGGATCTAGAAAGGTCACACACGTGCAATCCATGCATTGCTTTTTTCATAATATCCATTTTCCATGAACATTCTGAAGATGCTTCATATGTGCTCTTGATATGATGTGATGATAATGGCACTTCACCTCTGCGATCTTCTGCCCCGAAGCTAATAACTCCAGTCTTATCATGAGAAAAATAGCAGACGAATTCTAATAAAGGGACACGTTATAGCATACATGACCAGTACTCCTCAAAACTGTCAAGACTTTCAAAATCGAGGCAAGTCTGAGAAACTGTCACAGCCAAGAGGGGCCTGAGGAGAACATGGCAGCTAAATATAACGTGGTATCTTGCAACAGAATAAGGACTTTAGATACAAACTAAAGGAATGTGAATAAACTGTGGTTGTTAGTTAATAACGCATCCACCTTGGTTCATTAATTATAACAAATGTGCCATATTAATGCAAGATGCTAACAACAGGGGAAACTGTATGGGGGGGTGTATATGGGAACTCTGTACTATCTGCTTAATTTTTCTGTCTAAAACTGCCCTAAAAAATAAAATCCATTAAAAAAAATAAACAAGGGGCCGGCCTGGTGGCGCACTGGATAGTGTGCCGCTTGGGAAGCGCGGAGGCGCTCCCGTCGGAGGGTTCACCCTGCCCACAAAAGTCCTTCACGCCCAAATGGCTTCACTTATGAATTCTATCAAACATTTGAGGAAGAGATAATACCAAATTATACAGAATCTTCCAGAAAATTAAAGAGGATGGACCTTCCCACCTCATTCTGAGACCAGCATCACCCCAATACCAAAATCAGATGGTGACATGACGAGAAAAGGACACTACAGACCAACATCCCTCGTGAATACAGATGCAAACTTTTTAATTAGCAAATTGAATCCAACAATGTATGAAAATCATGACCAACCGGGGTTTATCCCAGGAACACAATGTTGGTTTGATATTCAAAAAAATTAATAAATGCAATTTACTATATTAAATAACTAGAAAGGAAAAAAAAAACCCATATAATTATCCTAATAGACAGAGAAAGCATTTGACAAAAACTCTCAGCACACTAGGAATAGAAGGGAATTTCCTCAATCTGATAAAGGGCATTCATGAAAAATCTACAGCTGACATCTTAATTTCTCCCCTAAGGTCAGAAATAAGACAGAAAT